CAGCTGTCCAGAATCCTAAATCCTTGAGTATGATTGGCTAATTGTGCACACTCCAGCAGTCTGGATTCTCCCATCTGTACCCTGAGTACAGACCACTCAGAAATTTCCAATTTTGGCAACTTTTCAAGCTTTTAGTTACACTATAAAACAACTTAAAGGTAAACATTCAACACTATGGCAACTTTTCAAGCTCTTTTTATCGCTTTTTGTACCATTCAGGCAGTTGTGAATAATGCCTCCAATTTTTAACTATTTTCTCCATTACTATAGTGTTTGTAAGTATTCTCCAAAATTTTGGATCCCTATGAAAAGCAAAAAAATATAACTTACCAATAACATTATTTTACGAATTTACCAAGCTTTTATAATGAGTTCCTCTATTCGTATTCTATATGTAATATATCTATGTAAGGCAAACATTGAAAGTACAGTACTTTTACAAAGGTATTGTAAACCCTTAATGCTTGGTAGCTTAACATCTGTTCATGACATTCACCACCTTTATCCTTGTTTGCATGTTTATAATATTATAAGTCCACTGCCCTTTTATTTGCATGGTTAGTTCTGAAATGAAATTATGCAAGAATAAAAATAATTAATTATGCACCTGACAAAAGTCAATAAGTTTACATTATTTTGTTCAGTCAGTGTTGTTATCTAACCAATGACCAACTTCAAGCCATCACATAAAATGATATAAACAAGTGGATACAAAAACTCACCATTCAGTTTGAGTTAATACCCTCAAGGTTGTTATTGGCTATCAGCTTCACATTTAACTTTCAATCCATCTAGGCCTGCTGAAATGGTCTTCATTGGGACGGAAGAAAAAAAAAAACACTTGGCCATAAACCCAAGCATTTAGAGAATTTTGGAAACAATAGGGCAATGGAATCAGCACCAACATTTTTGTGTATTTATAACTGTTAGAAATGTGTAGACAGAAGCATACAAATTAAAAATATAACTTGATTGAAACAGTTGTGTTGGTTTTAGCTGCAAAAAATAGGACTTCTTTTTTAGTTCTATTTAGTTTTCCACAGTTCCTTCCATAATATCAAAGATCTCGAACACAGAATATGTACTGCACTGTTTTGCAGTTCATTATCTACGGTGCACTGCACCAAAAACTTGATTGATTGTTTCTAAGAATGGCACTAATCGGCTTCCAATAATAATCTAATAATCTAATATAATATTAGTACCAGTTATGATTGCTTGAGATAACCATATCTTATCAGACTTAAGTGCATTCCTTTCAGTTCCATACCAAGGCTTTACCCATATGCTTTGACAATTCTGTAGAGATCATAATTTACTACGAGACACTGGATTATTATGAAATTAATCAATACATGAACAGCAGAGTGAAAGAGAGGTCAGGTACATGAGGTTAAGGTTGAAATCTCTTGGTATCTTGTTTGGAAGCAAGATCAAGAAAATTTGGCAAATGACAAAGTATTGGCTATTGGATGTAAAGTTATTGTTCCTTATCACCATTGCTACAATGTCAAACAGAAAATTCTTTCATCAATATTTCTTTACATGTTACATTGACTGCAACCCCAGGAAAAGCTTCTTTGGTGACGGTACATAGCTGCTTGTAAAGGGTTTATAGTATTAATTCAAAATAAGTTAAGATTTGCTATCAGTAACAGACATAAAAATAGTTCTCTTGGCCAAATAATAGAACAGCTGAAACAACACCAATCATCTTGTGTTCCTATACAAGAGGTGCATCAAGTTTTGATAATAGTTGTTATGGCCACAAATTTAACAGTGTTTCAAGCTAATTAATTAATCAATTAATTAATTAGAATTAACACAAAATGTATAATTTCATCTCAGATTGTCCCAGGGTTTGAAAGAAAATTGAATTCCAGCTTGCCCTTAGGACAAGGTAGCTCTCAAATTTTGCTTGTTCTGGGCAAGTCTTGTTTGCTCTGTTAAGGATTTAGTTGGCAGATGACTTGCCAATCCCTTGCCCATTGGGCAAGTGAGAATGAAAAGTTACTTGCCCAGAAGGAGAATCTACTTGTCCTAGATGACTCGATGACACTTTTTGAGCCCTGTTGACCTATCTCTACTTTCAGGCTAAGTAGCAGCCTTAAAAATTACTATCCATATCCACACCTAAGGAGGACTATTAAAAATTCCAAAGAGGCTAGCCTGAGAGTCATTTTCACTAACCCCTCCAAATTTCATCTCTTACTTTACTTTTGGATGTGCATCAGCATGTTGAGAGTTTCAGAACATAAACTGAAATTTTCAGTAGATATGGGGGTTTTAACCAAAGTCTCAAAATCAACAAAATATGGCACAGTAGAGCCACATAAATTAGTTGTTTGGAACCTAAGGTATGTCTGGATGTTCATAATTTTTAAAATAAACAGCAACTGGATGAGTGCTGAATCAGCAGAAGTTTCTTTCTATTACTCTACAACATGAGCATACAACATTTATTCCTGGATATGCAGTCCTTTTAACATCTTCACTATGCATAAATGGCGGGGTTGCAAAGCAACATGTACAAGGCCAAACCATTCTGTCCTGTTCGATTGTGGATCCACCCAACAGCACAATTAGAGCAATAAGCAAAGCACTGAAACAGAATAAATCCAGCTATCAGTTTACTGGCTAAAATGTTCAGTTATGTGAGTATTGTTTAAAGACTCTGGCCTGAGCAGTCACGGGGAAATAATGATGTCTTCTAGCATTTTCAATTGCTCTCTCCTGGCACCCAAAAGTACAAATTGGGTATAATATTTTTACAAAAACCTAACAAAATGCTAAGGCTACATGTAACCCTTGGTTTAACTCTGATAATTATAGATCTTGTAGGCCACTACACTTGTGAAACCTTGACCTTCCACCGTAGAGAAGAACTGGTAGCTTACCCAATCTGAGTCTGACCCAATCCAAATGCACCTACAAGGTGGTTGCAAGACCATTTCCACTCTGATTACAGCTCTTCAGTAACTTCCCTGATAGTGCGAGTATCAGATACCCTTCTTCCAGAGACTAACACCATTGTCTACTTTTTACTTCATGGCTACAATTTAAAAACGTGCAATTGTGAAATTTCCCCTTTTCTGCCAGACTAAAAGTAATGAGAAAACAATCCCTTCAAACTCGGAAAGAATTGACAAAGGGCAAACAAGAAAACCAACTTAACGCTTTCTAAAAGGTTAAGTTAAACCTTTAGCCTCTAATTCATGAATTTTTCAAAAACATTACAGAAATCATATGACAGAGGTACAGTAACCATACACTCGTTTTAAATTTCCTGACTCCCTGTTAAAATAGCCACCAAAACTGCGAAACGTCTTATAGTTTAAACGCGAGGTTATAACTTGACAAACCAAAAAGTAATTGCCAACGAACTCAATCTCTTTTTAAAATATTTGCTTCAATAGTTTGCGTCATTGACTTTTTATTAGTCAGTAAAATTTCTCACCTTATCGAAGAGAGCACTGCGCAGAGAAGCTAGTTTCCACAGCTGCGCTCCGTGTGATGTTTTGAATCAAAGCTCATTCAGCTACTCTTGGCGTAAAAATTCATGGCTTGCCCGCAGGCATTCCCAGTATTTTTTCACTTCTGTGAAGCTACGTGGCTATTTTACAGTTCCTTTCTTCTATACAGTCACTTTTGTTTGAGCTGCGGAAATCTCTATTTTCCAGCAGTTGCTTGTCACGGTCGAATTCCCCAGAACGAACATTTCTCCTTCGAGCTGACAGTCATCTTCTTCAAGTCAACACATATCGCGGTCAGTCCTGCTAGGTAAAATGTCACTGTACAAACTGCACAATTTCAATGAAATTTAGGTCAACATTTCACAGAAAATATGATATGAAGAGGTGCGGCTCCTTTCCGCAGCTTCTCTGTTGAATCGGCGCGGTTTCCCGCCATTTTTAGTAAAAGTCACGTAATTCATAAGAACGCACCAATCACCGCATACCCCAATACCGACCTCGTCCTCAGGGCCTTCTCCTCGACGAGTTCGTCGAGGAGAAGGCCCTGGGAACGAGGTTGACCCAATACCTGACCCAGATTCCATCACTTTTCCAAGGTGCGAAGGGAAGGAGGTTAGAGACGGACCATTTAACAAATTGACATCAGTTTTTTATGCATCTGTCCTCTTATTGATGATAAATTGCGGCATAACATTGTCAAAGTGGCTGTGGAACCACAAGCCGCAGGCGGGTGGTTCTGCAGTAAACTTTGACAATGTTATGACGAAATTTATCATCAATAAGAGGACAGACGCATAAAAAACTGATGTCAATTTCTTTTTTTAAAAATAACAAGACCCCAAACTGGTCAAATGCCGGGAATAAATGAGGGGAAAAGACGCGTAAACTTGCCGTAAACAAAGATAAGTGAATTTTATTCAAAATGACGCGAACATTGTCAATAAAATGCTACTGAAGGACATCCAACGATTTTCGATACCTTTTCTCGCTTTTTGATTGGCTACTTAAAAAAGTCCATAAAATCTCATTGGTTAAAAAGTTGACAGTTTGACAGCTGAAATTTGAACTTGAAAGCTTGCATAAATTAAAAYTTTATCCGTCTGTACTCTTATTGATGATAAACATGAGCCAATCAGCGCGCGAGAAATTAGACAGTTATTGTAAAATATTTTTTTGAGGGGAGACGGGGGGAGGGGGTTGGGCAATATTCTGTGGTATGAATTTTTTTTTCTCACCTTTAGGTTGTGCATGCTTTTTTTTTGTGGGCAGTAGCTTGTGCAAGAATTTTTTAAAAAGTAAAACACAGGACCTGGATAGTAGAAAGCACTTGCTCAATTTTTTTTCACATGGCTCCCCTTGTACGATTTTTTTGACCTTTTTTCAGCAGTTTTTACTGTGCAGGAAATTCTTTCGGGAAATTGCCCAACCTCCACCTCAAAAAAATGGTCTGCCCCTAGAGGAAACAGCGTAAGATGGGCCATATTAAAACACGGACAGAAGTAGGCAAGGAACACACATTACAAACCATTCATTGATATCTACAACAGTTTAATAGCTGACAAAGAAATTACATCTTGATGGTTATTGCTAACAATTACCATTACATAACAATTTGTAATTTGAATTTGGTAACTGAACTAAGTGAAGTGCAATTCAGAGAGTAACTGGGTATGCAGTACAAAGACGCAGTTTGAAATTGTATGACACAAGGTCCAATTACAAATTAATCACATCACCAACAAGATTCAAGTTTGATTTTTTCTAAAAAAAAATAATTTTAAGTGTAAATGACATAAGATCTCTTGATGAGCAGTTTAAGCAAGTCTAAGAGAACCTCTTTTGAGGAAAAACGTGAGTCAGAGTGGTATATTTAGTAGGTGTCCAATTACAGGTATTGAAATTTATAAAAAAGTTGTCATTTGACAGCTGGAACTGGACACCCACATCACACTTGCTCAATCCTCTTCGCACCCTTGAGCACATGTATAAGGCCATTATTAGGATATCGAGCTTGTCTCTCGCACACCCTCCGTGAGATTATTGCAGACACTAATATTACACAATAAAGGTGTGCAGCAGGGAACCAATCAGAATGAAGAATTTTGTTATAAATAAACTACTCTACAGCAAAGTAATATTTGCCACTGTTTATTACTTTTAAGATACTTACTTTTAACACTACAGTACTTACAAAATGAAAATTTCATTTCATTGGTTCTTTAAGACTATCTAATTAAATATTCTATTAAATATTCAAAATGACTTCTTGGCAGGTGTGAGGAAGAGTGGTCAATTATGACTGACAGAACTCTGATTTCCATACATGTAGAATATGGTATGATGCCACTAGCTTAATGGAAGGTTTCTAGCATTTTGTGAGACTGCGTTAATAATTTGCCGGGTGACAAGAAGCATTTCAGAGGGCAGAGTTGTTAGAGGGGAATGGTAATGAAGCCTGGCAAACATCAAAGGAGCAACAAAGATACCAAGATATGTTTACTGGAAGGTCCACCACCATGCACAATCGTCGACAAAACATTTCTATTGGTTATATTTTCTCAGTCAGTAGTAAACAACAATTATTGTGTTTTGTGCATAATCAAGGCCAAAAAAGCAAACAAAAACATACAACAAAGATCTAAGTTGTAGGGTTTCATAACTGTGTAATCCCCTCTTTTAGAATCAATATGCACAGAGGAACATTCTATTGGAATTTATTGCACACAGAGGAAAGAAATTATGACACTTACCTAATTGTACTGCTGTTATGAAAACACACAGTGACGACCTCTAGTTTTTGGAATCACATTAAACAGACCACACTGTAATTTTACATCCTGACCAATTGCAACAAGTATGGGCATTCCTAATGATACCTCATGTGCTTTCCTTTCAACAAAAAATTTTGGTTAAATTTCTGAAAATTTCCAGTGACAAAATGGAACAGTATTTTCTAGAAATATTTCCAAAAGTGGAAAATCGAGTAAGGTATACCACATTTTTTTGAATTTCCATTTCATTTGATTTTCCTCCTAAAGTTTCCACACTTTTCTATTGAATGGTTTGCATATAGGATTTTCTGGAAACTACTCTTGGAACTGTCCCTACCACTTGTACCCATTTTGAAATTTCCAGAAGTTTTGGTTGAATGGAGAGCACCTCTCTACAATAAACAAGTATAGCCACATTTCAGTGGCTGCTGCCACATTTCAGTGGCTAATGGCATAAGGGCAGCAGAGGACACAAACGTGCCACGGCTTACTTGGTTTCTTGACAGCTTTACAAAGCTGAATGCTGCTAACCCATATCTTCTTTCTAGTCCAGCAACACTGACTTTCTCATAGCAGGGACTTACCAAAACACTCAATCCTCATCGGAACTTCCAATCTTAAATCCATGTTACATCAATGGGCCCAATAAATTCACAAAGTCCCACTTCCCTCCCCCGTTTAGGTTAAGACATATTCTAAGAATTTTTCAAGTTATACCTTTTGCTTGGAAACAATGCCTAGGATGAACCTTAACTTGTAGGGAGGGCTTCACAAATCTGGCCCCTGGATTCTTAACCATGGTTATCTAAGAATACTTTCTCAGATTTTACCAGATATGTATGTAATTGAATACAGTGAAATCCCAATTTTACAAACCTCCAAAGGAAACAAAAGTTGCTTTGAAAAATTAGGTAGTTTGAGAAATTGGGGGTAAAATCATAGTGTTTGACTAGAGAGAGGGAAACAACATTTGGTTCGAGCTATTAGGAGGTTCAAAAATTGACGTTCAAGAAATTGGGATTCCACTGTTTCACCATAAGTTGTTCCTAAACTATCACCTAACAAGACAAAAAACTACAGCGCGTCATTTACTGAAGAGCAATGGTCTGTTTCTCAACCAGCTTCCTAAACAAACCATTAGGTTCATCCATCAGCTGCCTGTAAGAGCCAGCCTCGGAGATCTGTCCATCACTCAACACAACAATGTTGTCTGCATTTTTGATAGTTGAAAGGCGATGTGCGATGGTGATGACAGTTCGACCCTTCATTAACCTTTCTAATGCCTCTTGAACCAAGTGTTCACTCTCGGCATCTAGTGCACTACAGGGAGAAACAGAACATACTTGACATTAATTGACTGAATATTCCAAAGGTGTGTCGCAGCCGTCTTAGTAATTGGCTACAGGTGTTTTCCTCAGTAGGTCATAAATAAAATTTTATTGATCATTAATAGATGGTTAGGTGTACAGTATGACATTTATATTGAATCAGGAGTTCACTACTTAAAAGCTTGGGGGCAGCTTAACCTCGAGTGCCTATATGATGTACTCATTGGATCGTGAATTTTGCCTCTCAGGTGCCTGTATAACGTATTGAGTATGTCAAAGTTGTAAGTCAAAGAGATTTAGTCAAACTTCCGGCACACCAGGAACAACTTTTTTCAGCACCTGAGACTCACAAGAGGTTTTTTGAGAGACTGCTAATTTCCCATTGATATGATGTCATATGGATATCAAATTACATTGACCAATCTCAGCAAAAGTAACTGCATTGAAGACTGAGACACTTAGGATCTTTCAGTGAAATTATGCATCCATGTCTAAGTGAAAAAGCTTATGGCATTTGAAGTTTTAAATGGTGTGGCACACAGCATACACTATGGTCTTACACCCAAGGGGATAAAATGTGTCTTTGCTTGCTCCAAAAGAAAGGGCTTAAAAGATTTCACACTAGTTCAATATGGGAGCAAGAGGGGGCTCTCTAATTTTCATTCATCACCATTTCTACATCAGTTCACTGAGTGCAGAGTG